AAAATGGAGGCAAACCTCAAAGTGACACAAAAAAGGGTTGAAGTGGCCGTTATGTGGCAGTTATTGTAATGAAATGAAACCGCACAAACTGCAAAAATGTCGCTCGAAAACTTTATTTATTCGTATTTTGACCATTTTCATTTCTCCCTCCACCACTGACAGTGCAATTATTCGGCAGCTCTGCGGTTATTGCTTGCTGACCGACCTTTTAATCAACACTCCATTTCATCCCCTTTTTTCACTGCCACTTACAATTATTTTAATGTAATTTCGCAAATTAGTTATTTTTTGTTCTTCACACTCACATTTTTTCATTTCATCATCGGCTCCGCCTGGTTCGCGATACTCGCTCACTGCACTCTCCGCTTGTATCATATTCGCTTTGGTCGGTAATTCTATTGCGGAAAATTTATTTTGTGTCATAATTGAAATTTGATAATTTTTCTTTACTCATTATTGTTGTTTTTTTTTTACTTACTTATACATGGCGCCACATGGGATCTGGTCTGTTGATAGCCGCGCGCACATCGGTTACAAGTCAGTCCAGTTACACCCTCTTTGCAAGGGCACTGACCGCTTAGGTGATTGCAGGTTTTGCCTGTGGAGCCTACAGGGTGACAATCGCAGCCTGGAGAATGGAGAAAGGAAAAATATTTTTTTTGTGAGTTGAGTTTTCTCTAACGCCAGGATTTTTTTCTACTTCTTCAGGAAAGGCAATGTTCTGAATTTTAATTTCGACTATATTTCTGGAATTCGGTTTTCATAACTTTGATAAATGAAATGTATTTGCGAATTAAATCCTATACTACTGTGGAAGTGAATTGACCCATGATGCTTAGATTAAATAATCACTTAAGGAGTTCCCCAGATCACTTTTGTATAGCAGCCATAAACCAAATTCTTTTTCCCCTTATTCAACAAGTGAAACTAAATTAAAATCAATTAAATTCTTATTTTTACACTTTTATGCACTTTTGTTGCTCACACTCCCTTCATGTCTTCGCCTGCACCACAACTTTAGACAGAGATTAACATACAACTGACGAGTGAGTAGATTATTGTGGGCAAACAATATCAGTCAGCAAACAAAAGCGAGAGGGAAAGTAAAATGAAAAGAGGCCAAATCGATGCACAAAAGGTAATCGAATACAAAGTGCAAAGAACGAGAACTCAATTTCAGATTACAAAAAGTACATAAAAGGCCACAGAGATAACAAGGAAATAGGAGCGGCGCACAGTGTTCCATTTTGGAAAAAAGTGGGCAAAATCAAATATCTCGCAAAGCAGAAGAGATAGCGAAAAACTTTAACGTTATTTTAAAGTTTTTGAGATGGTGAAGCGAGGAAAAATAATCCCGTTGGATAAAATAATTGCTTTGAACTTTAAAAGGACCTCCAAACACATATAAGGTTTTAATTTTATTTTTTTTACCTGAAACCAGTATTCAATGAACTTTTCACAATTTTCAAACACTGAGTTTTGCTTTTATTGTGTCAAGAAATACCTTCCTAATTGAATAAAAAATTATCATCACCTAAAACCGATCTTCGAAAGTAAATTTTTTTAATTTTTTTTTTTGTTTTCGACCTAAAAAAAATTAAACGGCGTTTTTTAGTCTTGCGACCATTGAAACATTTGTATACAAATATTCTAAAAAGTTCACTGCATACTGGTTTTTATTTCAAAACAAAGGATAAAACTTTAATAGCTTATATTTAAGACAATAATTTTAAGGATCAGGTTAATTTTTTCAACTAATCAACGGTACTTTTTTCCACGAATTTTTCATTCCAAAATGTTTAAAATACCCTTACATTTATTTGCTATATCATCCCATTCCCGATATATTTGATTTTGTTCTTTTTTCCAACATAGGACACTGTGCGGCGGCACGCTTAAGCATCTAAGTCCGAAAAGAGCTATGGATGTTAAATAAAGCTAAAGAGAAACAAACAGGAAAAAAAAATATTTAAAAATGAAATAAAATTTTATGCGATATCGTTGTTTTTTTAGAAAATTTTTATTTTAAGCTTTTACCAGTATTCCAGAATTTATAGTGATACAATTTTAACTGCCGGTTTCACCAGAAAATTAAGTTGAAGATTATTTTTGCTCTTCTGTCTGTTTTCATATTAAATTCAAATAAAAATAATAATTTTTCATTTACATTGTTTCGGTGCAACTGGCTGTAAGAGAGTGATCAAATGTTACTCTTTAATAGATTTAATTGTACTTTTAGCCATAGAGTAAGGAGTATTCGAAACTCTATTTTGTGAATAATCCATTGTGGATGGAATATTTAAGGAAATACATATATTATTTAAATATTATGAGCAAATAGCGAGAATATATATCTATTAAAGCTACAAAATCTTAAATATTTTTCTAACTAAACGAAAATCAAGGGAAATGAGTTTTTTTTACGCTACTCAAATATGCCAGAGAACACTTCTTGATTGGCGCTGCAACCGCCTAAGGGATTTTGGCAGAGTTCAATAAGTCAGTCGTTTCTCTTCTGTACCAACTAACGCCAAAAAGTACAGACCTGGTTTTTTCATCGCAAAGGGGGCCTTCCTACCAGCAGCGGTATTCACGTTATATACATAAATAATTACTTTTAGAGCTGTATCGTTTATACACATTCCTGCGTTATGACCGACCCGACTCAGTCGTTGTATTTTATGCCGCTGAATTATGCCTATAACGTGGTTCCGTCACCAATGCGCCAAATCCCGTGAAACTTCAACATGGTATTTCGCTCGAACAATCTAAGGCCCGAATGGTCAGATTTTTTCATTAGTTCGATTTTTGTTAGACCAGAGAAAACTTTACTTCTGAATTGTCTACTCAGTACAATTAATTAATTTTGGACTTTTGCACTGGGTCTCAGGCAAGGTCTTGTCAACGGAAATGAGGCACTAACAGTGTGATCAAAGAAAGGATCTGAGACAGGGCTGAGAAAACTATACTATTCCTTAAACTTTTACCGTGGACCGAAATACATGGAACCTGCTAAGAAACTTATACCAAAAAAACATCTCATGGTAAAACCAAAAGGGTCCTGAACTATTGGCTTATGTTGCGAGTTTTATACCTCGCATGACGATTTCTGTTTAAGATTAAGGAATGATAATGGGTTGGAGCTTGCCCTACGAAGAATGCGCTTCCTATTTAGAACACTATGCCATATTGTTTAAAGTCCTAGTAGGAATAAACCTGGCGAATTATTCCTGATCTTGTTTAGATTTTGTGATTCATATAACAGTGATTTTTTCAAAAAGAAGAGACGGTATGAATGACGTTAATAGTGCCCAATAAATAAAGTAAACCATTTTACTGTTATAGATTTAACTACGCTAATTATTCAATCAAAATACTTAAATTTAACATTTGTGCACATTACACTAACGGACCAAAATCATCGTTTAAAAACTAACGCGCTAATTTTTTCCTTATTATTTTATAAATAATTTCTGGAGGATTTCCACAAACTATTAAAATTTTAATATTTATATGCCCGGTTGCACCCGGTTAATTTATCAGCGTGTTAAAACTTAAAATGACAGAATTTCGTTCGGATAAATTTTAGAGTTGATTGGTGAAACTGAGGAAAAGACTTTTAAAAAAGATGTCTGTAAATATTTTAATAATTAGTAATGGCGGGCGGAATATTGCATGTAAATCAAATACAAACTACGTACACAAAAAAGCCGAAACCTTCAAATAGCTATAACTATAGGGGGAAAAAATAGATTTTTTTGTGAATTTTGACAGAATATACGTACATGTTCACTGCCGAACCAAAGTATTGACTCAGCAAATTTCTCACATTATATACAACAATTTTTATTCCAATATTTTTCGGCCAATTTTGTATAAAAATATGGTTTCTTCAACAACAAAAAAACATAAAAATATAATTCCTAACTTTTGTGAAAACTCGCAAAAAGTCAGCAAATTTACACCTTTTTAAACAGATTTTTTAGATTTCTTTGAGTATGCAGTTTTGCAGCCCATTAAATTCTAGTTAGAAAAATTGAAGTTCGGAGTTAGTCAAAAATCGCATTGATTTTTGAGAATTTTTTTTGTTGAAGGTGTTTTGCATTTTTTCTATATAAAGTATTTTTCTAATTTTTTTTGTATAGAAGAGACTGCGTGAAAATAAAAATCTAAAAATCAACGGTATCTCCTGGCTACTTAAAAAATACAAGACAGCAAAAACATTAGTATATAGCAGGGTTCAATAATATAATTCACCATATTTTATATCTAATATGAATGTCTTTCTTAAATGAAAGAAGAGTAAGCATACAATACTAATCTTCCTCGAAACCGTAGCACCTTTACTACTCGTGGTCGCAGTTTTTGAAAGTTGAGTCGTGGCTATGTGAACCTGCCCTAATAAAGCACGAAGAAACACAACAGTCACGACGTGCGTGTTCAAATTCAATTGAACTTACAAGTACTAATACCATTTCCCGCGGCTTTGTACTTTTCTAAATACTCAGCATTACAAAACAAATTTCAGACAAGGTGCATTTGTTCTGTCTAACGTTCGTGTTGTTGTCGCTTCTGTTGTTTAGGGATTATTGAATGAAATTCCACTTGAAGCTACATACCTTAATCGCTGTCATTCCACCACTTCAACTCGTCAGCCCGATAAACTGCGAGAATGCGCACTCGAAAGGGAGTTATGAAATAAAGCATTGAATTGGTTTTGAACTCGTTTCTACCAACTATTTCCATTGGCATTTTTGCTGTGCTGGTTGTTGTTGCCAACTCGGTTCCCACAAAAAAAAATACTGATGTCTGATGGATTACTCAGTTTGAAATTGAAAAGCGAAAGAAATCCACCATTGCTTTCAACAGCTTTATACCACAAATAGTTGCCGTGCTCGCCTTCCCAATACCACACTTCTCGTTGTAAATGTGCTCGTATGTATGTTGCTGTTGATGTTTTGGAATTACTTGCAACGATAATGTTTTCAATGATGACAACATCTAATTCGAAATCCATTGCTGATGTGTGGGATTTTGGTGTAGATGATGAGTTCGTGACGAATCGATAGAAGAAAAACTTTTCAACAAATCTGTTCCTTACCTATGTATGTATATATGTGCATAAACGTAGCTAGCTAGCGTTAAAAGCCGATGGGTGGTTGTTTTCGAGGAATGTCACACAAAAGTTGCTATTTGTTCAACACATGCGATTATCTTAGATTTGTATAGACGTCTAGTCCTGATTAGCTCATTGTTTGAAAATTAACTCAACACCTTTGACAAGTTTGCGTTGAAGAAACTTCATCGTAGAACAACTGCAAAACTAACTACGGACGTGAACGTAAAAATACTTAGGAATGAGAATACACTAATAGCAACTCGTGCAGACTTCTGTTAAACTTGGAGCTATGTCAATGATTAGTTAGCATTATTTTACTTCAGACGATATTTGGAAATAGCAGAAGTAAAGACGTGTAAATTTACGTTTATAAATTCCATACAAATTCATAATTTTATCCCCTTTAGCGGCAGTTTATGACGTTAAATGAATACACCTAATGCGTTTACTGAAAAAAGTGTAATTTTGTTTCGAAAACTACACAGTTCTGCGAATAAACTTTTTTTTAAGAAATGCAGAACTTTTTTTTAAAAGCGAATAATGAGTACTAATACCTTTTTGCAAATTTGTTATAGTTTGCGGTTTAATGCGAATCTTTAAATATTTTTGTTGCTGAATTTCGGCGGCTACCGTGGTCGAATGATTTGAGGTGAGCACTACCCGTCCGTAGGTCGAGGCTTCGATCCCCAATATCGGTCTCCCCTCGGCAGTGACATTCACCAGGTGGTGGCCACAAACACACCGTTTCATCCGGATAAAGTACCACATGACTGCTAGTGTTCACGCCAAGTGTCTTCTGCGTATTCACCGCGTAAAAAAGACACCAATGAGTAGTCAAAAATTGCCTTAGATAAGACCCCTTTCTTTTGATAACCACCATGGCAAACGAACAGAGGAATGCGATTGGAAGCCATGCAGCTGGAATGTCCGGACCCTTAATGGGTAAGGTGTCTTTGTCCCGTTGGCCTGACATCACCGCCATGGAAGAAATGCGATAGGAGGCGCAAGGAAGAAAATAAATAGGACATTGCGGCGTCTTCGCCACTTGAGTCTCACATATATTTAAATACTTGCCGAGAGCAGTCTTCGATAAATGCAAATAGCGAATTAAAATACAGCGACTCCTCTCGTACTCACGGCAACCAAGTCTTCGTAACCGGAACGACCCAGATATATATCTGGCCAAGGCCTTTTGAAGGATTTATTTGCTGTTATAACAAGAATCACAGAAGCCGCTGGCTAGGTTATGTCATATGAACGCGCTCCAAGGCGCCCATAATTGGAAATACCCAAGGAATTAGAAGACCTCTCGATAGAAATATCATATGGAGAAGGACTTGGCTTCAGTTGGCATTTCCAATTGGCGTCAGTTGGCATAGAAGAGAAACTATTCGCTTTTTTTAGGGCTGGGCCAAACATTATTAGGCGGCTTTAGGTCCAAACAGAAGGAAGACGATATAGTCGTTTAAAAATTGAATGGTCTAAAGTTTCAAACTGTCTCTTATTGGCGATTGATTTTAAAGAAAATTTCTATGGCCGAAAAACTTTCGGAGTTTCGCCATTGCTTGCCGTTGAGCGACTGCCTTCAGAGGAAAATGTTTTAAAATATTTGGATTTTCTGAGATCCTAATATCCTTGGGCCTCTGTTTATATCCGATAATTGGATCGTGCAGAAATTTACGATAATCCTAAATTTTTTATGAGAATTGATGTCGGTTTTGTTTTTTGCTTAAAACTTACTTGTTTTCTACCCAAATATTTAAAAAATGATTATAGTCGATTTTTTCTTCAAATGACTTACGTTTGCAGATCTTGCGATGATTGGCCGGTTTGGTAGCATCCCTGTAGTAGCCCTCGCGACAGTAGTGACAATAACGGCCGGTGGTGTCGTGTTGACAGTTGTAGCAGACTCCTCCCGAAACACGGCCAGACAGCTTGTAAAGTTCCAAATTAAAACGGCAACGACGCGCATGTCCATTACATTGACACACTGAAAGATAAAGCGAAACCGAATACATATGGATTAATTCTTAATTCCATATAGTTACATTTGTACATAAGTTAAGATAGTTTAAGACTTGTATGAAAAGTTTAGGTAATTGCAAGTACAAGGCGGAGCTTGGGTATTAACGATTTTACTTTTATTGATGTAATTAGAAAGGGCCATAGCTTATATTCAGTAAAATAATATACATAAATACATACCGTGCCCTATCCGCCAAAAATACGTAAGCGACATTTCAATAAAAATTTTAGTTTTGATGCAAAAATGTTCCTTAGATACATTTTTGAATCAAAAATTTAAATTTTGAAAAAAATGTCGCTTACCTCTTTTCGTCGGTCAGAGCTCGATTTATGTGAATAAAGAGTAAATAGGTCATCATTGAACACAACACCTCATTTTTTTTTTTACTACACTTCCGGCATTTACGCATAGAGCGCAATTGCTGCAGGCAATCAACTTAATGCAGCTTTATAACTTTTGTCGGTAATGAAAGGTGAGCATGAAGTGTGTGCAATTCAATTTGCAACAACAATTCGCCAACAAAGGCGGGAAACATGAACCTACTGATCGAATTGTGGTAGTCAAGGGAGACATATATGTGACCTGGTCTACGAAAAGGGAGCTTACGTGCGAAAACTAGATTTCTGTGAAAAAGCTGTTAAAAGTAAGCAACTCGTTTCGTCAGTTTCTCATTATCTCGTTAATTGTTCTCCACGCCGGGCGTCCAGTAAGTGTTGTTGTTGGTCCAGTAAGTGTTGTTGTTGGTCGGAATATTATTATACTTCATCGTGTAAGTTGCTAGTGTGGAACATTTAAAAAAGTAACTCTTTCTCTACATTTTTAGTACACTTCTAAGCAAGTTAGGATTTTCAGCTTTTCACCACGTGAAAAAGCATCTCATCTTCCATCCGAATCAACCAAAAAGTGAAAATTGATTTTTTGACACCTAAGCCCCCTTTCCGTAGACCAGGTCACATATAACTATACATATATAACTATACTATTTATGCTAGTAAATTGCGATAAAAAAAAGCATTTTAGTATGTGCAAGCATAACTGAAGTACATGTTTGTATGTATTATCTTCCCAAAAGTTTCAGTACTTCAAAATTATTAAGCTAGCGTTGCTGGGTACTGGTTTTATAAATATAAAGGGAAAACTTGGAACTCTTCCCCTGCCAGGCTACGCCCATGTTTACGCTCGTATAGACTACTTGTTCGTATTTATTATTGAACCTGTGCTACATAATTTGTGTGTCAAGGAAACGCAGGCTATACTCTTTACACATGAACATGCCGGACCATCTACGGCTTTTTTTCAATTCATTCAAACGCTCTTTCACGTCGCTATGACCCAAACCGACTAAAAAACCCCTTGAAGTAGGAAATGTGTGTGAAGTAGGGTCCTTTCAAGTAGGCGCATAATAATAAAGACAAAAAAATCAAGTGAACCTGAATGTTTTTGTGATTCGATTCTCAAATCGACAATCTCCCAAACACACTCAATGAAACTAAAACGAATTGCCAATGTATGTAAAGTGCAAATAAAAGTAAAACAGAAAATAACATGTCACAGTAGATTTGAAAAGCGCGTAAAAAATTGTGATCTGTATCGTACAATGCTTGTGAGTGAGCATTAAAAGTGTGCGTCTAAGCGTTTATTTTGCCCAAAAGGTTTGTGTGCCTGTGTACTTATTTGGATGTGACGGCGTACACAATGGCTCTCGTTTTGATGGCATTTTCATGTTTTTCCAACACTTCAATTCTGTTCGTGAATGGGTTTAAAAGCTATTAAACAAAAATAGAAGCAAAAAAAGCTAACATACGCTCATGACAAGTTGCGGATTTTTAAAATGTCCGCACTGCAACACTAGGTTGGAGTTATTTACTTAAAAAAATTGGCATATTTTAAACGTACGGTACTTACTGAGCGGGTTTAAAGTGACCAAAATAGAAAGCAAAATTGACTTAAAAATATAAAATGTTTTCCAATGAGGGTGGGTAGATGTTAGATTAGATAGATATAAATAGATTAAGCACTGCGACCAGTAGGTCTATTGTGCCCTCAGCTCATTTCAATACTGAATCTAGCCCTAATAGAGTCTCCATCAATTTCTTGCTCATAGGTACCTTACGCAGCTCTCCTACGTGAAAAGGCTTCACACTCCAGGAGAAGGTGTATTGTTGTCTCTTTGGCGGAGTTACAAAATACTTGTTAGAATACCTGTAACAATTCATAGCCTTCCGAGTGGCTGCTCATGCTCAACGAATGGGTACACCTATCGTGGACAATTGGTAGAAACCAGGGAAACCTTTGAGCATCTTCTATGCCGATGCCCCCCACTGTCAAATATATGACTAAAATGCCTATCAATTCGAGAAGTTAGTAATCATCTCGTGTAGGGCTGAAATTACTACTAAAATTCGCAAAAAGCGTTCACATCCTTTGTGATGCCTCCTTTAACGCCTGAAATCGAACTCCCATTGGCAAGGACCTACCGGTCTATTTGTGACTCAACATCGGTTACATTAATCTAACTTCACCTAACTTATGCCTACGACAACACTTATCTTAATTGAGCTTTGTAGAGGTGACAAATTCTTAGCCGAGAATGGGCAGGTAATCAAGGTTGCGTATTGCAGCAGGTTCGAACGACAAGTCTTTTTGAAATAGCGGCAACTATTTTAAGTGAATACCAAAGCACCATCCAACCTAGTCGCTTAAAAATGGATGAGATACTCATGTCGAGAAATTCTCTCCATTCATGCAATAACAGCAAATTTTTTAGCAAAATCGATGAATATGGTTATTTTCTTAAAAATAGCAAAACAGCTAAAGACTTTTTATTCGGGTCTTGCCGAAAATTCTTAAGCCCAAACTACAATAACGCAGTGTCAGTTTTTTGAAATCAGGAAGTCTGCTGTGCAGTGAAGCGACACACAATACTGCAGTAACAGCTCGCAGTACTGCTCAGCTAAGCCCAAATTCTAAATTGACTGCCGCTGCCTTCATTGCAGCAAACTTCGCGTATTGAATTTTACACACTTTATACGCAATCATCTTTTTTTTATGTCACTGAATTGAGCTTTAAAGTTAAGTCAAACAAGGCAGACGTGGCGTGGTAAGCCGCATTTAGCTGAAAGGTAGCAACTTTTAATCAAACGGTTGAATCTTTCTCTAGAAAAAGTATTATGGTTACTATGAAGTTTTTCCTCCAGTTTTTAATTTTTATTTGGTCACAAAATTTTTTTTATAAAGCTATTAATTTTTTTTTTAATATAACTGACATCTCAATGTCTTTAAAATCGCGTTTTAGGCTAATATTTGTTATCCGTGCTATTAGCAATTATTTGCAGAAAAAAACAAGTAAGAAAGTCTAAGTTCGGGCGGAGCCGAACATTAAATACCCGACGCAAGTATTAAATATATGTTTTTCACCTTTCCGAAAGCTACCGCTACATGGTAAGCCGGGGTGTATCAGTTTTGAGTACATTGGCGTCCTTAAATTTCGAAATATCGCAGTTTCAAGCATTTCTGAAACTTACCGTTATATGAAAAGCGGCCGCAATTTTAGTCCGATTTCAATACTTTTCGGCGTTTTGGTTCTATGGGGCAAGTACAATAACCACACCAAGTTTGGTACAAATTGGTAGAACGGTTACAGAGATACATATATATGATCATAAGTGGGCGGTGCCACGCCCATTTTCCAAAATTATATCATAAACGTATTTCGATAAGGAATTGTTGCAAGCCTCAATTTTGAATAAATTATCTTTAATATTTACTGATTTATCGAAGA